TGTTTAATATATTATCCATCATGTTCCCACGAGTACCTAGGGAATTATAACGGTCCACTCCAAACAGAGCCCCGGTTGTTGGAGTAAGGCCACCAAATACACCTGGGGTGGGACCTGGTGCCCCAGGGACCACCGTTTGCGACTCCAACTACCCCTGGCGCGTTTCAGAACTCGGCACGGTGAACACCTTGACATTGGGGGATGTGTTTGGAAGGTGTTGGTTCGTGCCAATGTCTTTTATTTGGTCGGTACCCTCTGTTTCGTAGTTCAGAGCAGCGAGTATCCTCCTATCCACCACCCGGCGACGCGCCACATTGCAGGACCTTCGAACCTGCGAAAACTCTCGGACGGAGACTAAAGGCGTTCCTCTCCGACAGGATCCGTGTGTATGTATGCGTGTGTCTGTATTTCTTTTTAATAGAGGCTTGGGGGAAATCTTCGAAAAATTCTGGTAAAGTGATGTTAAAAACCAAATCCGGGATTTTTACCCAGTAAAACCCCCTTTTCTCCTCTTTTCTTCTCACCCCATACTCCCCGCGGGACCGCCGCCAGGCATTACTTCATGGGGGGGACATTCTAGCTGTAACTCTTCCTCAGTTCAAACGCTGTATGTGTGAGTGTGTGTGTGTTTTTTTCAATAGTCTGTTGGGAGAGTGCATTTACGCATCCCCACATACGGAAGAGAATCCTAGAGATTTTCTCTGACAACTGGGTATGTCGGGCTCAAGTCTATGACCAATACTGACTAAACTCCAATCAGACTTATTTCCACTAACCTTAATTCCCTCGCGGCACCATCGATAAGTATTACTTTGCGAGGGAGGTCTTAGCCATCTGCTCTTCCACCTTGTTAGCATCTAGTGTACATCCTCCTACCCCGGTGGGATGTTATATGTGGGTAGGAGGTTCCAAAAAAATACTCGCCTATGCTGCAGCCTTGCGCTTGCGTTCCTCACTCCTGAGCTCTCTCATGACTTCCGCCACAAAGTTGCTCGTAGCATCCCAGGCTGCTTCCGATGACAGCATAGCTTCTACCAGATTCTCAGACAGGACTTCCCTTTCGAGGCCTGATTCGCAAGTACACCGGCTCTCACTGAAACGGGGGCATCTCAAGAACACATGCTCCGAATCCTCGTTAACTCCTGTGGGGACTGGGCACTTCGGGGAATCCTCGTGTTTGAATTTATGAAGACACGCCCAGAAGCACCCCTGTCCCGATAGCATCTGTGTCAGGTAGCAATTGACCTCTTCATGATCACGATTTAGCCAAACACCCACCTTTGGGATCAGACGATGAGTCCATCTCCCTTTGGTAGAGTTGTCCCACTTCAGCTGCCATCGACGCAAGCTATTTCGTCTCTCTTCTGTGTTAAGTTCTGCAACATTCAGCGGTTCTGATCTCCTTCGTTAGTACAGGGATCTTCGTTCCTCAGCCAGTACTCCTATCGGTACCATTACTGCGATGACGCATATTGCATCCTCCGACACCGCGTGGAAAGCACTCGCCACTCTGAAGGCACTCAGTCGATACGTTGATGCAACTTTTCGTCGTGTCTCCTGCAATTGTAGTGCATCGGTCCAGATGACGATGCCGTATGTGAGCACTGATGTGACCACCGATAACAGCAGCGTTTGTCTTCTCTGTTTTGGACAGGTTGACTCTGACTCCCAAGGCCTTCGCACTCACATGCAAACCTGCTGTTTCTGCTTGCTGCCTGAAGTTTAATCGAGCATCGATCATCACCCCCAGGTACCGGATGAAAGGCTGGGAAGTAATCTCGTAGGATGCCACTTGCAGCGTGATTGTCTCAGTTCGCTTTGTACTTGTGATCAACACGGCCTCTGTCTTATGTTCTGCCAGTTTCAGGCCTACAGTGTCCATCCAGTGGCGAATCATCTCAGAGATTGTGTCAAAGATGAAGTTGATCTCCTTCAGATATTTGCCCACGATGACTACGGCTACGTCATCTGCAAATGTCACGAGTTGGGTATTCTGCGGCATTGTCAGCTTCAGCAACCCATCATACATGATATTCCACAACAGAGGCCCCAACACTGAGCCTTGAGGCACACCTCCGGTGACTTTGTACTCCCTCCCAGTGAGGTAGCTGTTAACCATTCTCCGCAAGTATCTCGGTACGTTGAACTTAGTAAGAGCCTCCATAATACAGTCCCATCTGGCTGAATTGAAGGCATTCTTAATATCCAGTGTCGCTACCATGCAATACTCCTTTCTTCCATTGAGCCATCTCGCCTCTGAGATCGCTTCCCTGGCGGTATCGACGACCAGATTAATGGCGTCTATTGTGGAACGGACTCTGCGAAAACTATATTGGTTGTCGGCTAATAGGGGTTTGACTGCTGATTCTATTCTTCGATGAACGATATGCTCGAGGATCTTGCCCGCGGTATCGAGCATGCAGAGGGGACGGTATGACGATGGATCGTCCGGTGGTTTTTTTCCTTTCGGGAGTAATACTAGTCTCTGCTGCTTCCACATGGCAGAGAAGGTGCCCTCTCTCAGGCCCTCATTGTATACGCCCAAGAAGATATCCGGCATCGCGTGAATAGCTGACTTCAGTGCAATATTGGGGATTCCATCTAGACCAGGAGCCTTGGTGTTGCCCACTCTATTGCAAGCTTCCATCACTACTTATTGAGTGATTGTTGGAGCCATCATCTCTTCTTCTTGGTCTCCAATGCAATGAAGTTCCGTTTGTTCCAATTGTGAAATTGCAATGTGCCTATTGCCCAGATTCAAACAAAAAGACTTTTTACATAAAATTGTGACTGGGGATGAAAAGTGGATATTTTACGACAATCTTAAGAGGCGAAAGTCGTGGGTTTATCCGGGGGAGCCGTCAACTAGCACTGCAAAACCAAACATTCACGGGAAAAAATTGTTGTGTATTTGGTCGGATTCCAAAGGTGTAATCTATTATGAGATACTCGAACAGGGGAAAATCGTCACTGCTAAGCGTTATCAGGACCAACTGGTGAAGTTGAGTGAGACTATTGAGGAAAAGAGACCTTTTACTGATAGTGGTACGAGGCAAGTGATTTTACTGCAGGACAACGCGCGGCCACACACGGCCAAAGATACCCTGAAAGTTATCTCCACGTTGGGCTGGGAAATTCTCTCACATGCGGCGTATTCTCCAGACCTTGCGCCTTCTGACTATCACCTTTTTCGGGCGCCACATCATCTAGTGGATACCCAGTTTCGATCTCCTGAAGAAGTCCGGCAGTGCATTGATGACTTCATCCAGTCAAAACCACCATCTTTCTTCCGAGCCGGAATCCGACAATTGCCCGATAGATGGGAGAAATGCGTGCAAAGTGACGGTGATTATTTTCAAGACTAGATCTGTGTTCATTTTTTTATAAATAAATGTCAGAATTGTCGAAAAAAGGCCGAGAATTAATTTATACACCTAGTAAAACATGAAAAAAATAAATTTTGCCAAATACTCTCATGACTCTGTGGAAAATGGTCGAAATTGAACGACTGACCTCTCAATTTGAAGCTTATTTAATAAGCTTTCCACTCGATATAACATTTTTTCTAATCATGAGAAAAATTGTAATGCAAGAGAAAATGCTAAAAAATTGGACATTTTTAATTTGTGACATGCCAATTTCCGCATATAATTACCCATAACAATTGATCAAGTGGATGGAGTGAGGAGAGTCATACTCGTTGAGATCTCGTTGAGATTCTCAAATTGATGTATAAAAAATTCTCATTAGTCAAGTGCAAAGGTCCAATACTGGATGAAAAGTGCTAATTTCAGGGTATGACATGACGTTCAAAAGAAGCAATCTCCAATAACTTTATGAAAATTCAACCAAATCGCATTCGATACATCACAATTTGAAAAATGAAGAAAGCCCTTTCATGATAATATATCGATTTTTCAGGTGATTTGACTTGAAAAAATAGAAAAATCCAGCCAAAGTGGAATTTTCCAGTAAAGCAACAAAAACCAATTTTTGCCTAAAAGTGCCATAACCTACACTGAGAAAAAAATTTTCCAATATCTGGAACATGTTTTCTTGAGACGAGTAAATTTTCTTCAATTGTTTAATTCTCTCAGGCATCTCAACTCACATGACCTGAGAAAGGCCTCATGCTGTAGAATATTCTTGTACTTAAGTATGATTTTGTCGCACATAAACTTACTTAAATCGCGTAGAAGAATCGTCAATCTTCTAGTCTTTATGGTTTTCATTATTTTTTCGTTAGACACTTCCAATATTGCAATATGTAAAATATTCATGACGTAACGCGGATCGATAGTGATGAATGGAAATTTATTCGAGTTCCATAAAGTGCACACATTCTGAGATTGAAGCCATTGAAAATAATTTACTTCTCTCAAGAAAATATGTTTCAGATATTAGATTTTTTTTCTCACTGTAATGAAAAATGATCATAATGAAATGATTCACATGTTAGTTTCAAGCTTATTTAATAGGCTTTCAAATGAGCGTGAAACCTGGGAGGTTCGTCCAACAGGAATAGAGACATTAGCGTAATGACCAGAAAAAGGACCAGCGTCATGGTCACGAATTGTTCTATGAGGGAATCAAAATTCAAGTGGAAAAAAAGAAATTTGTTGAAAAATGATAACTCGCTGAAAAAAATAGAATTGTTCTAAAAATTGTAATTCTGTTTGATGTTTACCCTTCTGGTAACATCAAATAGACTTATAGTCAAATAAGGGATTTTCATCTTCTTGACTGTTTGATATAGGCGGCGTGCATGCGCCAGTTGCCCTGGTAAGCATAACTGGTCCACGCTGACTTTACTACCCGAGAGACGAGTGTATTCGCTAATTCTTGAATACATTTCTCTATTAAACGGTTATTTGCGTTTTATTCGATATCCTGAAGATTCCCAAACCCCAACATTAAGCATCATTCGACAAATTTTATATTTTACCACTTCACTGACAAATTTTAATTCTCTACAATGTTAGTTTTTTTTGTATTTCTAGATAAAACGAAATCTACCAGTCCTGGCGCTGAAGAGGGCATATCACCACGAGGATTTTTTGGTACTCCTGATATCTGGAGAAAGTACAGAATCGATCCTAACAGGGTTAATCAATGGACCGCGAATTTAAGAATGGTAATATTATTGTGATAAACGAAAAAAACAATATCAGAGTTTGTATAGTTTATTTCATCATGCTCTGCGTTCATACGCTTTGCGTGCAATCAGCATACAGTAGACTCCCGTTAGTGTCACTGCTCACGGAATAGAATCTACACGAAGACGCATCCGTGTACACTAATCAGAGTCGAGCAAATACAATTGGCGGGAAAAACTTGTGATCTAATCGGCTCTACACGGAACGAAACCATCGGAAACAATCTTGCGATCGTGTTGAGTCGTGAGGATCAATTCCATGAATCGTTTATTCATACATTTCTTTTATTTTCAATATTTTTAGTGCAGCTGCCAAATTCACAATTTTCCTCGAATTTCCTAGACAATTGTTTCTGAACATTCGTTTCCTCGCGTAGTTCCCCGGTAATTGTTCCTGAGCCTCTATTTTCTCACGTAGTTCCGCATCATTAGTACCCATCAATACTCATTCCATGATTCAAAGCTTGCACCTGGTCTCATAAACCACTCATAATATTTGGGTATTGCTAATCCCTAGTCCCGACAGTCTGTCGCCAACACCCCGGGAAGCCTTGATGCACCTAATCCCTATCCCGACAATCCGTCGCCAACACCCCAGGGGGTCTTGACGCACTCCGACTCACTTGAGTCCCAACGACCCCTTCTCCTCCACCCTGGAAGCTCCAAAAATCTACAGCGCCGAACCAATCCCAGCGCTTCCCGCTTAACCGCTCCCTTCCCTTCCAATTTCTAGCCAATCCTAGCACCGTTCCGAAAAGTGATCCCTTCCACCGCACAACAACCAATCACCGAGAACCTCCTGACTTCCACGCACATAAAAGCTGCGACTTCCCAATTTTCCAGACAGTTACAGTTCCGACTTAAAATACAATAACTAAAATACAGTCCATTCAAAATATCAAACTTCGTGTAAAACTGTGCAATTCGGCATTATTATCAGAATATATTTATTATTATTTTAAACACAATCTCCTGTGTTCCAATTTCATTTTCAATCCGAACTCAATATTCAAACAAGGCAGACCGCGGCGTTTTAGAAGTATCATTCGACGATACAGATCGCAAGAATTGTTCCGAAGATTCTGTTATGTCCGCAGAAATTTTTGGCGTCGGAGGATTATCTTTTTAATTATTCATTTAAAAAGAAAGCTAAAATTATTAAGATTTGAATTCATTTGGACGACGCAAAGTTTATAGTCTTATCTTTAAATAATAAGGAAAATTTTCAAGTGGGTTTTAACTGGAATTTTCCGGGTGGAAATGACTTTTATTATTTAGCGAGAGAATTTAGTTTCAAAAATAGTTGAAAATCAAGAAATTTAGAGTTGAATTTGATTTCAGTTGCGAATTTTGAATCAATTAATTTCCAAAAACAAAAGTATTCAAATTACAAAATTTAACAACTGAATTATTTCGAATTTCCCTACCCCTGGAATGATCTGAAGAATCTAATTTTGGTCTTATGTCACAAATTATTTTACTCGGAGTTAAGTCTGCTTTTTGCAGTTATATAGTTTTATGTGTAGATCCTTGGGTAAATTCGAGATCTCATCAGCAATTAGTCAAGCTGAAAGCTATTATGGATACCTTCGCGAATACACTTTCTTCTATTCTTTAGATTATTTTAACAAGTTTTTGATAGTTGAATTTTTTAATTCGAGTGAGACTGCCCGCAACACTTCACAATAGTCTAATTCCTTAAATGTAGGAAGAGACACCACTTTCGATTAAAGGAACTTTATCCCCGGATAAAATCAATTGTTCGTTATTACTTTATAACTATTCCGCGTAACATCGACTTTGCACCGCTACGAACGGAAAAATTGAAAAACCGGATCGATTAAATGAACTACTTCCACCAGAATTGCTACTGATCCGCGGCTGCTTCAAGACTGGCTAATTTAATTTTTATGGCATTTTTATATGAATTTTGGGGGTCACTTGACACGTGGGGCTCCAACGAGTCAATTTTTAATTGGTGGAAAATGTCGTATTGTAGCGGCTCACTACATCTACGTGAGAGGCTAACATTCTCACACATACACACACCTGTGGGGCTGCGCAGATCCCACTGGTGAAAATCAGACCCCTCGGCCCGAAGTCAGTCTAGTGGCGTCCGCCTTGCGAAATACATTACATTACAACTACTTATCCACCTGTATACAGAGTGTCCCAAAAGTGGAGGTATTCCCTGAAATGGACGGTTGAGGGTTGAATTCTGGATCGAAAAGTCCAATGAAGTTTTTCGATCCGTAGCTTCATTCAAAAGATATTAATGAATAAAGTTTGGCCAATTAGAGGGCAAGGTCAGAGAGGCCCGTGTCAGTGTGTCGGCTGTGGGGTGTAGTTGAGCTTGCTGGCTCTCCAGTCTTCTGCCGTTGACGAGGAGAAGGGGAAGCACTAGCGGTTCTCAATTGCGCACGGCTGTCATTTTTTCTCCTCTCCCGCGACGAATTTTCTCATCTTCGGATTGACATAAAGAGATGATATTGCGCTCTATCGATTCGGCAATGAATTTTCCATTGATTGAGGGCAAAATCATTTGTTTTTGTTGAAGGGCGAGGTGAAATTTTCTGACCCTTAAAATGAGGGTCCTTCGCAGACCCTTCATGGTCATGACCCTTAGATTGTGACCCTAAAAATGGTGGAACGTCGAACTTTTGACCCTCATTTTTTCTGACCCTTAAAATGAGGGTCTTTTGCAGACCCTTCATGTTCTTGACCCTGAAAAATTGCTGAGCCTAAAAATGTTGGAACGTCCAACTTTTAACCCTTATTTTTTCTGACACTCAAGATGAGGGTACTTTACAGACCCTTCATGTTTTTGACCCTCAGATTTTGACTCTTAAAATTGCTGACCATAAAAATTTTGGAACGGCGAACTTTTGACCCTTACTTTTTCTGACCGTTAAGATGAGGATCCTTTGTAGACCCTTCATGTTCCTGACCCTTAAAATTGCTGACCCTAAAAATGTCGGAACATCGAACTTTCGACCTTCATTTTTTCGGAACCTTAAAATGAGGACAACTCTCTACTCTTCTCATTTTTTAGAGTAGATAGTTGGGATCGGATACTGGGTGGGGGCAACTCTCCACTCTCTCAAGTTTCTAGAAAGTAGTTAGTTGGGCTCGGATGCTTGGTGCGGGCAACTCTCTCTACTGTCTACAATTTCTAGAGAGTAGATAGTGGGGTCAAATACTTTCTGGCCCGCAAAGTGAGAGTCAAAATTTCGACGTTTCAACATTTTTTAGGGTCAGCAATTTCAAGGGTCAAAATCTAAGAGTCAGAAACATGAAGGATCTGCAAAAGGGCCGCATTTCAAGTGTCAGAAAAAATTGGGGTAAAAGTTCGACATTCCAATATTTTTAGGGTCAGCAATTTTGAGGGTCAAAATCTACGGGTTGGGAACATGAAGAGTCTGCAATGGAGCCTCATTTTAAGGGTCAGAAAAAATGAGGGTCAAAAGTAGGGATGCGAAATGACGGCAATTTTTGACATGCGTCAAGTCAGTCGTAAATTTACCGTTTTCTGACCATTTCTGACTTGATGCATACCTCGTGACGCTAACTGATCGGTCAATTTATCCAATTTTCAGTATTTTTTTTGCGTTATCATTTATGCTGAAAAATCGTCTCTCTAGATGTAACCTGACCGTTTTTCTGCGCTCAGTCATTTTTTCCTGACTTTTTTCATGAACTAGAACAGGGCGCGCGCTACGCGCGCATATTGTTTTCCATGGGTGCCAGAATAGTAAAACCTTACCGTTTCTCACTTTCATTAATTTTTATCTCGATAATAATAATGCAGAAAAAATGAATGGTTTCAAAACAGTTTTTCAGAATGAGAATTTAATTGTTGAATAATTTATTCGGAATCGTTAGAATCCTCTTCACCTTCTTCTTCGTTTCTCTTTTGCTTCTTACGTTCCTATTAATTTTTAGGGGTGTATTATGTGCTGTATACATATATACTATCCTATACATCTATTTTTTTACAGAACTATCAATTTTTTTACAGTTAAAAAAATGACAGGATAAATCATATATGTATAATCTATCTGCTGTATATTATATTATATATTATATATTGTATCATATATAATATCTAACATAATATATATTATATTTTATACATTATATTATATAATATATATACTATACATGTATGCATTTTTTTATAGTAGAAAACAGTATTTAATTATTTCAATTGTTAAATAAATTACAGTACATAAAAAAACATACATAGACATAATATTACATTACTTGATAAGCGGAATAGAGGCTTCAGAAATCGTTACACTGGATCTTTTAAAAGTGGATTTTTTCAGAAATTTGAATAAAATTATGGATAACGCCGAATCGGAAATCGAAAATTTAGTGAATATTAACTTAGTATGGAATTACCAAAAAATTAGAAAAGTTTCGTAGAACTTTTTTATGAGCGAATCCACCAATTCTGAATATGAACAATTGTCTTAAAATTTTGAAACTTTTTCTTTCTATTTTTATATTCCAAAAGAAGAAAAACGAGCGGAACCGGAGCTCTACAACTCAGTTATTGGCGGAGATATTGAAGTTTGAATTTTGTTTTCTTCTAACATTTTTTTTTTCAATTCTACCTACGAGCCACTAAGAACGATAAAAAAAATTTTTAACCCCTAAATTTCGTTGGAAATTTTCTAAGTATTTCGAAAACAATATTGTTTTTCATCTATCTATGTATTTTGGCATAGAAAATTCAAAAAGAAAGTTTCAAACGGTCATTTGGGGTCGTTCCCCAACATTTTTTTATTTTTTTATTTCTTCCTCGTAAAGTTCATAAAATTTCCTAACAAAAACAGTTTTTTTTTTGGTGCTCTCACAAACTCAGAGGTGAAATGCAGAGAAAAACAAAATTTTATCCTCCGAAAAAATGAGCTTTTCACAAATATCTCGAAATCTAAGGGAGATGTATAAATTTTTTATAAAATCTTTTTTGT